AGGCTGAGTCGATTCAGCAACCGATGGGACATCAGTTGCTGTAGTTTCTGCTTCGGCGTCCGCACAGAGACGTGCAGACGCGCTCTCGGCGGCCTTGCTCGCGCATCGCATGGGCTTGTTTACCATGCGATGAGATGTTGGAAAGTGGACGCGGACCAACAAGTGCAAACCCCGTCCCAAATGATTTGGGACGAGTATCCATTTAGTCAATCAGTCACTAAAGTGACTGATGGTTAAGGGGGGTGATGTAACGGGGTGAATCGTTACATAACAATTTATAAGAAATTGTTAATAGAATATAACTATAAGAGTTATATTCTCAGAATATTGTCATAAGGACAATATTCTGTAGCACTTCCAAGTAGTTCCTAATTGGTTGATATAGGCCATTATATCAACCAACGAAGACGCGCCACGACAGACGCACGCAATGAGTGGTGAGCAGATAACTGATTTACACATTTGTATTTAGACATAGTTAGATGAAGATAAATAGTGATTTATTGCAGACATTAACTATTATAAATACAGTTCTACTTTTACTCTAACCGAGTACTCGCTTCTTCTTACCGTCTTCCTCTGCACGTACGAGTGTACGTGAAGTTACGAGGCACCGCCTTATTCTGTTATCAGAATAAGTAGCTTGTACTGTCACCAGTACAAGCTTCAGGGTGCCCCGTTACACGCCACGCGTCCTGTCGTTGGATGGACTCGCGTGAGGCGAGGATTCGTCGGAACAATCGCTAGGTCCGAAGGTATCGAGCATGATGCCACCACGTTCACTAGAGCCAGTCAACCTGGCTCTTGCAGTGTCCGCCCTGGATGATTCGGAGGCGTGAGGTGTCGCCTTCGAGTCGGATATATCTTTCGACTCGCCAGAATAGATGAGCTTTAAATTCAGACTCATCTACATTGCGATTCGCGGTACCCGCTGCAGACGCAGCGGATGCACCTGTCGCACGTGGAGACTCACCACGTGGACTGTTCACAGCAGCAGGCGACGAATCACCTTTGCTGAGGCGTGAGAAGCACTCTCCATAGTTGCACGCATGCGTGCAGCCGCCTTTCTTGCTGCTGCAGTAGCAACTCGCATGGGTTTCGAAACCATGCGTTGGATTGGCAAAAGATTGGAATTTGATCAACAAATGCTCCCTTTACCAGAGTGATCCAACGGTGGTCACTTTCTCTTAATCAGTCAAATTCAATCAACGGGTGATTGATAGTAAGGGGGGGTGTAACGGGGTAGCCCGTTACATGAAATTGATACCAAACGGTGTCAATAGGGATATTGTCTAGCATGACAATATTCTACCAATATTGTCCGAGATGGATAATGTTGGAGGAAGTTTATTCCTTCGGATAATCTACATGCACTACTCAAAGATTGGTCGATGCAAAACACATCAACCAAAGATTACCACCAATCGCTGCTAGACGCGCGCAATGAGTAGTGAGCAGGTTGTCGTCATATGACGACGTAGTTTAATGTAGTTAAAGAAAGATTAAAGTTATATTGATAGCTTGACTAAATTAAATTTATTTCTCTTTTTACCCTTTACCCAGCTTAGTTGTTGAATAGATTAGCTTCCTCTGCACTTACTAGTGTACGTGAAGTTTCGTGACACCCCAAACAAAAGGTGTCCCGTTACATACGCAATGAGTGGTGCGCGGATAGTTACGGAACATGTTTGTATTTCGATAAGCTCAAACAAGGATTCATCAAATGAATTAACTATACTATATACAGATCTACTGTTTACCTCTACTATGTCTCTTGCTTCGTATAGTAATCTTTCCCTGGCGTACGTGTACGTTAGGAAGTCGGACGCACACAACCTTGCATTGTCAGCAGTGCAAAATCTATTCAGCTTGCTAAATGAGGTGTGTTCCGTTACAGTTAGAACTCAGCAGAACTCCGTGGCGCACTCCATTTTGGACTCTGTGACTATGCGGAAATTCACAACTCACAAAAATGCTGCACAGAAGTCCTGATGACAGAATTAATTTTTCAATCTGTAATTACCGTGTTATCAGGTAATGGGATCGTCTTTGCCATTCCTCTACCCGCTACCTTACCCCTTGTCTACCCTTTACCCTATACACTGTATTTTACTGGTCGACTGGGTAATAAAAGGTGTCTTACTTACTTTTCCGAGGCCCACATACATCGTTGAAAAGCGCTCTCAGTACGCCCAATTCGACATCGACAGGCGAGAACCCGGCTTGTATGTCGTCAGGCGACGAGGTCTGTCGTCCTCGGCTTGCCCACGCCGAAGTCGTCATTCGGTGTCGTCGTATCGTGTCACCATGTTGTAAAATGCGATTTCCTGCCGTGTGTTGGATCGTTGGCATCGCAGCGGATAGTACGTGCTCGTGCATCTCTGACAAACTGCCTCTTTTTCCGGCTTTCCGTTATCGGCCCACAAAATGACGGTCCGTGATGGGTAGACCGATGCTCGTCGAAGCACATTCAATTTCTGGCCACGGACCAAGCTTCCTACACTCGCTGCAGTAGCCAGTGCGACCAAGACAGGTTCTGTCTCTTTATCACAAATACACTTGCTTTAGTGCAAGACGTGGCAGTTGATCGTACTAATGTGAAACAAAAAAAAAGGGAGCCCATCCTGCACTCCGATTCCTCGAGGTGTACCCGATGTCATGACTTTCAGTGCAGCACAAATTCAGCCGGTACGCACAGTTTATCGCATGAATCCATCAGCACCGAACTCTTTCAGGTTCAATCGTGCGCTCGTAAACTTCCAATTGTCACAGCAATTACAGCACTTGCTAGATCGTGGACTCGCTGCACTGGTGAGAAAGAGACGCTGGAGCATACCTTCTGGACCTGCCCCTGCGCGCAGGCATGTTGGCAAAAACTCGTCCGTCACTGGACGGGTGAGCGTTGGGATCTGGGCCCATCTGCATGAATTTTTACTATAAAGTGCCAGCAGGCAGCCGCCGGCGCTATCGAAGGTGGCGGTAGATCGTGTTGAACGCGAGCATCCCGACGAAGAACGTGCCTATGCGACGGTCTGGGCACGATTATGGCGAATCCTGAGCAGAGTCTGCATTACGCTCTTGCGGATACACACAAATCGCTTTACGTTCCTCAGGGAGAGCGTAACTATAGAAGGCAGCGTCGAGGAATTTTGGCACACCGGCCTGCGGCAACTCCGGGCGGTCGCAAAGCGGGAGTATCCACGGGCCGACACGAAGATTCAAGGAGCGCGGCTGCTATCATGTCTCAGACAAGTAGCCAGGCAATTAAGAGAGTCATCACCTCGGGTGAAGAGCCCCGTACAACCACCGGATCCGTTTGAGACACCGGCGTTACTAACCAGGCTTAAGCTATATCATGCATCCTGCAACCATAAATAGGTTAAATAGACACGTTTGCTTCTCTCTCTCTAGTTCGTGGACTCTGGTCATCAGCTGCAATGCTCTGATGCTAGCTCAGCATCAGCAATCAACAACAAAACAAAGGCGAGCGGCGAGTTGTCACAGTCCGTGTCACAATCTCTGTCACAATTTGTGTCACAATCCAAGATGCTACTATCTGCTGGGTGCAACACCAGCCACGAAAGGTATGCGAAAAGCGACATCAGGCACGGTAAGGGACGCTAACGATTCAACACAATTCCTGGTGCATCACTCCAGGATGATAAGATGCCTTCCTATCTGGTCGGTAACGAAATCGTCATTTGCGCCCTGTATGGATTCGTCGTGCCACGTACGTCCTTCTTTGCAAACGACTTTCCATGAACAATGCACGGCGTAAGGGATCACTGCACCCACCGTTGCGAAGGACATCGCTGCAAAGCATGCAACATGGATTCGTGACTACTGTAGTGGAACTCCTGTCCAGGGTGCGATCTCCTACAAACCTCTTCAGGACAAATGCCGCAAGGTCATGTTACAACGTCGTTTAGTATGCACCGTGGGGATCGTTGTCTGTCGGTCTAGTCTTCTCTTTGAAGCTTACCAAGCGGCAGTGCATCGTCGCTGCCACTTCCCAACGACGCTTGTATTGGAAACAAGCTACGACCAAATAATGACAACACACGGCCTACAAGTCAGTGTGCTTCCCGGTCCGACCCATCGCGATGCTGTTAATGACGCGTGGACACTTACATTGTACATAGCACAGCAATCAGTACGACGGTTGTGAATTCGATGTCACTGCACGAACGCACTCCCTACGCTTGGACGACGTCGGTGAGTGAAGCCTCAGCTCGTAGGTTGTTTGCCGAAGAGGTCTGCCCTCCTCTTCTGTTCACGCCAAAGTCGCCACTACAACACAGATGTATCGAGTTGCTGTGATGTGTCCGATGCAATGGATCCTTGCATCGTCAACTGGCATTGCGATCAGTCAAGCTGAGACAAACGAACGGATGGCATATCGTGCAATCGTCATTAGCGTGTGGTCTTCGGAACTGCTCGCGACGATTCCACGGTCTACAACTACTTTCTACTATTCACTACCAAGGACGACTGCACGGTCTACTAATCCGTTCGCTTGTCTCAGCTTGACTGAACGCAATGCCAGTTGACGATGCAAGGATCCATTGCATCGGACATAGCATGGCGAGTCGCCTCATACGTGCTGCAAGTGGCGACCTCTGATGTGGACAACCCGTGGGGGGAAGTCACGTTGCTTCACAATTTAGAGCCCGTAGCTCCACTTATTGAGGTCGTTTAAGACTAACCGAGCACGCTGTCGCCCTGGCTTCACAGGTGATTACGGACAGGGAGCTTCTTTGCACTAAGTGGCTCGATTGGAGCAGCTGAATGGGCTCGACTTTACATCCAGCACATCTGAGAGATGCTTGGCATTCGTCCGTACCCTATCATTGGTGGTGCCACGAAGACGATGGACTGCTTCCCCCACTGAACGTGAGGCCACAGACACTTCCCAACTTTCACCCTTGGGACCACACTCCAACTCAAGCTCTGCAGTCGTGATCTTAACAGTCCGAGGCCACCCGACCTCCTCCACTGACATGACGTACATCCGCTCGTTTACCCTTCTCGCTGGACTGGCTCTATCTTCGACGGATGCCCAAGGGCTACTACCAGAGTCTGAGACGATGGAGGGCGGGTACAGCACTACTCGAGCTATGACCCTGAAAGAGGTCGCGTTCCTGACGACGACTGCATGCCATCCAAGCCTGTACAATGCGGACGTGACCAGCCGTATCTGCTTTACGGAATTCAGCTCGATTCAGTCGCAGGTTGTGTCTGGTACGAATGACAAGTTCATGGTGAAGGGCTGCTCTGTGAACGGGAACGAACTCTTGGGCTTCTGCCGCCCTGGCGTTTGTACCACGCCCTCGGGCTACGAAGTCATCATCAACTCGCAGGCTTGGATGAACACGGTCAAGTTGACGTCGATCAGGGAGGTCACCGTAGTCGAAACTCTTCCATACCCAATGACAGTGTAGCTTTCAGCTTTATACTTCTAACCTCTTTCGGTGAAGAATAGAGGTTGACGAACTCGTCACTGAAAAGGTGTATTGATCTGTTGTGGACCCGGAACCTTTGCTGATTTATTGAAGGAGGGAGATAGGAACTTCGTCGAAGGCATATGCCGAGTTCTAAAGCATACAGATAGCGCCGCATGTGTCTGGTTTATACGTCTGCATGCGAAGGATGCACCCCAGCATGCAACTTGTATGATTCGTATCGTTTTGCTGAAGCTTGATTGTGTTTGCCCACCATTTGCAACCATAGTAAAAAACACCGGCTACTACGTTGACTTGTGTCAACTCCACCGAAACACATGTAGAAATTACGCATTACATACTATGTGTGCTTTCGCGATGGCAATGTGCCAGTTGGGGTAATATTGCGTGTCAAGATTGTATGTGACTCGCCTTTCTTGGCAATGGTGACACTACAACTGCCTTACACAGCCGATTTGCGTTCATTTTCTTTCGCCAGATTCAGTACAAGTCTGCGCGTCCACCATTTCAAAAGCTCGACATCCTCAAGGTAAGCAGAGCATCTGCAGTATCCAAAAGATAAACTAATCCAGCGTCCAACTTCACGCTAGCTCACGTTGAAAGCATGGATGCCCCTGCAAGAAATGTCCCCGTCCCATACCGTCTTGAATCCCACAATAAAAGGTGAAGGAACAAATCGAGGTAAGGCCTGAGTCTTTTTTACTAATGCTTTCTGGTCCAAATTCATAGGCAGTGGACACCATTCGAGGCCTCGTAGTCATGCGTTAATCCGAGGGGTGACAAGACAGGGAACAAGCTTTGGAGCTCGCCCTTCGATGTAAGTAACCCAGTTCGGAGAACTGAATCAAATTACAAAACGTTATACAACGGCAGTCACTGAAGAATGAGTACGATGCTGTTCATGTCTGTGCAAACCCAGTACAGTAAACTTAAGCAACGCGATCAGTCTTTGCTCATAGCGTCCATCATTTGCTTGTATGATCATATCTGCCTCTAACCAGTTTTAAGCCAATCACGTGCGTGGATTACAATATCGACCTCGCCAAAGAGTGACTTCGGATATGCCTATATGCCTACGAGGGGGACATACTTGATCGTACTTAGTTAGTGTGGGGCACCTAACCGCGTACAAATAGGCACACACACAGATAAGTACGATTCAACGCTTGGCATTCAACCTTGCGCACAGCCACTACTAGCTTCACCCTTCGAGCTCACAATAATCTATTCCCGTGTGTACTAGGCGGGCTTATAAATTCACTGGTGTACACCCGTTCGATATTAGCGTGGTGATGTTACGACGATGCACAGCAGCGTTATAGGTCCGCTTTATAGAGGAGCAGAAGAACGTTTTACGGGGCGCTCTCAAGGAAAAGCTCCGCACCACGATGAGCCTACGAGAGCTCGAAACCTGGCGTATTCTCGCCCTTACTCTTTCTTGTTTCGTGTAAGACCTAAATGGAAAAGAGATAAACGGAATGAAGCTACGTGTGCCTAGTGCTCTTCGTCAGTCTTAAGCAGTCTTGCTACAAAGTGTCTGATCCGATGTCGATTGTGAGGACGCGTTTATGTGCGCAACGAGGATCTTCCCGATGGCATAAAGCGCGTTCATAGTAGCTACTTCGGCAATTGTGCCAACCGTCAGGCTCCAGAAGTTCCACCGGTTCAGCGGTCTCGCCTGCTGGAAAGGTTTCAAGACGATGTAGCGGCAGGCGACAAGATGTGGCGACGGATATGGTTTCTGATGTGCTTTACTTGCATGGCGCACTTATGGTGTGAGCGCAACGATGCCGTTTTTCGCAGCGCGAAGTCCACGACGTCTGCCAGTGTGGTTCGCTTCTGGACTACGGGTATACGTCATTTAACCGCCGTGGCTATGCGTGAACATAGAGGCGCAGAAACAGTGGTTCAAGGGGCTCAGTTACATGCCTGTCTTGAACTTTTTACCCTAGAGCCGAGTGCTGTGCCACTCCCTCTAGTACGGTGCCACGAATCATCGCCGCGTCCGGTGCTGTATTCCTGGCTTAGACGGTTTCAGACTTCTAGCACATAATCATAATGTGTAATAGAACGCCATGAATCTCTCTCTCTCTAAAACGCGTTCATAGATGATGTTTCTACCGGAGTGTTCATGTAACGGGGCACCCTGAAGCTTGTACTGGTGACAGTACAAGCTACTTATTCTGATAACAGAATAAGGCGGTGCCTCGTAACTTCACGTACACTCGTACGTGCAGAGGAAGACGGTAAGAAGAAGCGAGTACTCGGTTAGAGTAAAAAGTAGAACTGTATTTATAATAGTTAATGTCTGCAATAAATCACTATTTATCTTCATCTAACTATGTCTAAATACAAATGTGTAAATCAGTTATCTGCTCACCACTCATTGCGTGCGTCTGTCGTGGCGCGTCTTCGTTGGTTGATATAATGGCCTATATCAACCAATTAGGGACTACTTGGAAGTGCTACAGAATATTGTCCTTATGACAATATTCTGAGAATATAACTCTTATAGTTATATTCTATTAACAATTTCTTATAAATTGTTATGTAACGATTCACCCCGTTACATCACCCCCCTTAACCATCAGTCACTTTAGTGACTGATTGACTAAATGGATACTCGTCCCAAATCATTTGGGACGGGGTTTGCACTTGTTGGTCCGCGTCCACTTTCCAACATCTCATCGCATGGTAAACAAGCCCATGCGATGCGCGAGCAAGGCCGCCGAGAGCGCGTCTGCACGTCTCTGTGCGGACGCCGAAGCAGAAACTACAGCAACTGATATCCCATCGGTTGCTGAATCGACTCAGCCTGTATCACCTGGTGATGCAGGCGCTGGTCATGAAGACACTCGTGTCTTCACAGAGTACGAGCTCGGTGTCTCGTACTCTCCTGATACGGATGACGGATCCGTATCGACGGCAATTGAATCCAAGCCGCCTGCCAAGCGTGGCATGGACGATGCTTTGCGTCGCAGCATCTTTGGTTCATCTGATGAGTCAGATGAACCATCGCCGAAGCGAAGGCGCTCGAGGTCGCGAGACTCGGGCGCTAATAGTGGTATCGTTTCTCCAATGGACACCACTTCACAGCGAGGTGCCAGTACTTCTGTCGGCACGTCGCAGGAAGAGCGGGACCGCAATGTGTTGCGTCTCGCTCCAGAAAAGAAGGCATGGATGCCTCCTAAATCTGTCATGGATCACTTGTCGGCGACGACGAGTGATCGTTATCGAACACGATTGTTCGATTCGTCGAGGATTCATCACCTTGACCCCAGCGCGAAAGACTATCGCGCTGAACATGAGTTCTTCATCGATGCTTTCTTCAGACATCGATGGTACAGTGGGAATCACAAACGTGATGGTCCCTCACTACTTCAGGCGTGGAACGCCTACATCCATAATCTCGAGGATGTAGGTCGTGACGCTTGGAACGACAAACTTATCAAAGCTCGTGATAAGTTTGAAAAGCGAACCCCGACAGGTGCACGCTATAAGCTGCATCGTCTGTCAAGGGAGAAAGGATTACCCTGCCTCTCTTGGGGAGACTCGTGCCCATGTTGTGTGAACAACTCTGCACGAGCACCTAAGGAGGCTTACCTCCTTACCAGCCCGTGGTGGCGCGTACGTGTCTCTACTGAGATGTACGAAGGGATTGACAACCTGAAATCCCTTTACGACCGTGCCGGGAAGACTTTCTCCGGCGGTCCTTCTGCGGCACAGGATGTGTCGCGTCGTACTGCTCGACCAGACCCAGTACGTCAACCATCAATTGGGAGCGGGGCTCCCAAGAATCCCAGGACGGGGGATAGCCGCGCCACCGGACGAGGTAACTCGTCCGACGTCCGTTCACGTCGCGGTGGTTCAACAGCTGCTCTACTAGATAGCGCTGGCCACCGCGAGAGTCCTCTAATGGAGGTGGAGGAGGAGGAAAGACGCTCTCCACACGATCATGTGGATCGGTGTGTTCCCGAGAGCTTCTTTGATCGCGTAACGCAAGGGTTACGCGACGATCTCGAGCATGAGCGGAATAGGCGTCTCCAGATGGTGGACACTGCCTCGAAGCATCGAGCTGAGTTTGCCTTTGCTCAGCTTGAGAACGAGAGATCTCTGACATCTCTTCGTGACGAGCTAAGGGTAGCTCGTGGGATTGTTGATCGGTCTCGGGCTGAGATAACTGCTCTTCAGACCCTTGTTGATGCCCACCATCGGGAGCACAAGGCTCTCTGCGAGATGCTTGAGCGCAAGGGCGTTCTTCATCGGAAGAAGCAGCGTACTGATGGTACGGCTTAAGCCGACCAACGTAAAACGTGGGATGCGTTCGCATCTTACGTGGTAACTCGATCGTGTATGCATTGCCTAGGCGGTGCAATACACGAAATGGGCCAATGTACTTGGGTAGTAGTTTACTGCTACCCAAGTTAGTCACTACATGTTTTGGTAGATTAACCGTAGACAGTAGGACTAAGTCACCTTTATTAAATAAAAGAGTGTTTGCCCTTCCATTCTTGTCAGCGTTTTGCTTTTGCTTATCCACCGCTTCGGCGATGGAGTCTTGCACAAAACGGACTACCGTTTCACGAGCCAGTATGAACTCATCTGATGACTCGTTAGCTTCAGTGTGCTGTGAGCGCACTGCAGCGACAACAACCTTTTCTTCAGTGAGGGCTTCCGCACTCTCACTGGGATCATTGTCTTCAGTGAGGGCTTCCGCACTCTCACTGGCATCATCTTCTTCGATATCGATGTTATCGATATCGGCATCAAACGCAATGACTTCTTCGTCAGAGCGTGATGAGCGTGAACCAAATCGGTTTTTGCTCGCGCGAGTCCCTCCCCCCTTAAACCAGAGTTACACTCTAGTAAGGTGGGTACACGCGGATGGCGCAAGCCATTCACGTAAAACGGTGTATGTGTCGTGGACGCATGCACCGAGTTGTTGATGGCAAACTCTACCATCGGCAAAAACTCACTCC